ACCATGCTACTCTTGTGAGAGCTACCTGAGTTAATACTTATCCTTCTCTTGAGCCAAACAGCTGAAGTTAGAGCACATAGACCTACTGGGAGTTAAGTGGACAGTGGCTAGGGATAGGATTGTATCACCAATCTTTACTTGCTGCTGCCTTTACATCAAGTAGCTACTCATCTCCACTCCAGTATTCAAGATACACTAGAAGTTTATCCAAGCTCAAGAGAAGTATTTCCTAGACACAGTCTGCAGCTCCTAAAGGGTAGGGGATAGAGTGAAATAATGGACCAGTATATGCAAGAGTTTGTGCCTTCTTAGGGACAAATCATGATATAAGGTTTAGTAATCAGGTTTTCTAGCCAAAATTAGAGGAATTGGGTAGAAGTTAATATGAAAATAAATGCAAGATAATCAAGCTCCCACCTTCATGGAAAAGGGGGGGGGTAGGAGCTTAATCATGAGTACATGTCCCTTGTAAGAATATAGAGATTTACTATGGCACGTGGCATAATATGTTTCAAATAGGTCGCGATTTAGGATCCCTTATTAATAAGCTTACCTTTCTTTCTCTTACACCCTGTCCAACTGCCAGTAAGAGTTAATCATAAGGCTGACATCAGGAAGAAGATGATTAAGTCCATTGCAGAAGCAGGAAGCTAACCATAGTAGGAGGAGTCTTTGGTAGAGAAAAGTAGGCATTAAGAGAAATATTTGCCTCTTCCAGCCTGGGGCAATTTTGAGAAAAATAAGAGAAAAGTGAAGTAGGTGGCCATTAAAGCTTTCATGCTCCTCTTCACACATATTTAGGGTCAAAAAGAGTGGTGTTATCTTAAACATAAATAGCAAACTCCCTTCCCTTAAATATATTATTGTAGATCTACAAGACGTCAGAAGAAATCCTCATGGCACCATCTAACATGAAGCAAGAGTAGTAGAATGGAGGTGGAGGGATGAATAATTCCAAGATAGACCCAAGCTTTTCACCCACAGGTCCTGAAGATGCAGGGCACCCGGAAGTTCCTGAGTCTCCAAGAAGCGGACAATGTATGCAAGCACTGGTGGATCTATGGATGGCAGGATTCAGGATATATAGGTTCCTGTGAATGATGAGTTTGAGAAGGAAGACAAAGGTCCAGGGTATAAAATGGCAGTAGTAAATGTCAACACAAAAGCCAGTAGGACAATAGCACTTTAAACTAGGGAGCAGCTCCTTTTCGGCAGGGTTCAGCTAGGATCCATCAGAATTTACATAAGTTGGAGGCTACCTTTGCCCTAATTGGCACAAAATCATGTCAGCCACATCCGTTCCTGATATACCTGATTATATTATCTTAGAGAAGTGGAGGCAGAGAAAGAAGAAATCTGAGAATTTAAGTATATGACCTCAAGATCCTGAGCATCTGCCTAAAGAAGCTGCTAAATTATTATACTGGACTGTTTATTGGGTTGTCCTAAATTTTATACACATCCCATTTCTAAGATGTAGTTGGTTTGTGAGGAAGAGCAAATGAGTTGGGAAAATATTTTTTAAAAACAATATAATTTCTGTGAGCATCTGAGTGTAATAGAATAAGTAATTATGTTATCCTGGTATATTATACAATAAACTGGTGAGGAAATATTGTCCAAAAAGCCAATTAACAAGAAAACTCTTTTATTGATAGAAAAGCAAAACAAATTTTCCATGAATTCTAATATCTGTTTTATCTATTGGGTATACTCAAGTTTGAAAGTCAGTTTTTCTGTTGTTATCATCACTTCACTGTTGTTGCTTTTAATCTCTCTATACAAACAGCCCCTTGTAATCACAACGCTAAGGGAAATATCCCCATGTCAGAGGGGTAGGACCTCCTTGATAAGTCGTTGTCTCCAATTAAAGTTAATTCTTATTCTCAGCTAAGCATTCATACATGGCACCAATTGTATTATTAGGTTGGTGACATTAATAAGTATTGATGTCAAGCCAAATGTTCTTTTTCTCAAATGTTACCAAATAAATAACAAACCAAATCAGAATCAGATTTACATTCATTCCAATTATTAAACACTCTTCTATAGATTGGGCAATTTATTCTAATATGAGCTGAAACATCCATGGGTCACAATCACTAGTTCCAACAAAAAATGGCCCAAATAAGTAAGTCTTTCAGATTCAAATTCAAAGATCAAATTCATGTGGGAATGGGACTAAGGAAACTGATCAGATTATATTAAAGTTTCTGCTTCTAATTTAACCTGTAACTTTCACATAATACCATCTAGCAATTGTTCAACTGTTACCCACAGAAAAGCATTAAAGCATATGTCTACATGATAAAAATAAGAATTTAACCATTATCTAATTGATACAATTGATGCAGATAGAAATGGTGGAAAATTCAGATGTCAAAGAAGTTTCTTAAAGCTAATTTGTCCATATTATCTAAAAATGATTTTTCAAACTAAAGATAATGGTCATGTTTTCACTTTAGCTATGCAGATAAAAGTTGTATCTCTACACAACATACAGGTTGAAAATGAAAAAAATCAAACCATAATCCAGGTTCCAGGTTTGTGGTCTAGATGGCCCTAAACCTCTCCTGGATATTTTTGCTTTCCATCTAGATATTTAGACCACATTGACATGGTCATAACTTTATTATCATTGCTACATTTGAGTCACTAACCTAGGAAAGGAAGCTTATCTAATTACCAATTTTCCAAGCTAACCAGGACTCTCCCCTTTCATTACTAAAGAGAAAGTCATTCAGATTTGACCCAGAGAAATAAGTGCATGCACATACCTGACTTTTCAGTATCCTCTTTGGATAAGAGGATGGAACACTATTTAGTTTCCATCTCATTCTTGTAATGACAGAAAAGAGAATACAAAAAGTCAATTGTAAATTTATACAAAATGTATGCATATATAAATACATATTTATGGGTGTATATAAAGTCTAAAGATTATATCCATCTACATCTTTAAGATTAGGAGTCTTGTACAGTTGATATAATAGTATTCTCCCTCCAAATTTTCTCATTTTTAAAAACAGTAAGAATCAAGCATGCCACCTTATTAATACTGAATAGCAAGTGCAGAAGTTAAGCTGTAGCTATAGGGGTTTGAAGCAATTAGTTTGACGGGACATCAGTAAATAAAATTCTTGAAATAAATTTAGTTATTTCCAGATTGCCTTTTGTTTCATTAAAATGAAAACCTCAGTGCCCTGTTGGTAGCATCCCAAGCTCCTGAGACTGCCAGTTGAGCTCTCTGAAAAGCAGTCCTTTAAACAGGGTCTGTACAAATTGCTTAGATATGTGCTTATTGAAATAATTTGGTGTGGGAACTGGGTTACTAGAATTTCATGTAATTTTCTGTCTCATGAAAAAAAATCACAAGTGATACCACTGGAAGCTTAGGTTCTGAGTATATTAAGCTCAGTATGAAATTTGACTCACAAACTGCATTATCTTTACACAGAGCACTATTTAAAATATTAAACCATAGTCAATTAATGGATAAAGGCATACATATTTAAAGGTGCACAATAACAGTGTATTACAGATGTGTGCCCATGTTGAGAGGTATTGAGATATATATATATATTTTTTTACAATATACATGATGCTTTTATTTCTCTTGCTCCTTGCATTCCTTTGGGGGAAAATGATGTAGGAGAACTTCTTAATTATCCCACAAAGTATACAGGCTGCTCCTTGGAAGGGGGTTATTATTGCATGCCTCAAATGTACTATGATTCATAAGGCAAGAACATATGCGTAGCTTCAGCACCAAGAAAATTGAATCGTTATCCAGCACTGCTCACAACAGAACATCTTATTGCTTTAATAAAATGGGAAATTATTCACTGTAGAAAGTGCACCAAATAAGGGGAAGAAAGTAATATCCATGCACTTATTGGAGCTCATTGGAAATGACGAAGCTCCCTTCTGGGTCCCTGATTCTATTCAAATTTCAAGTCTAAAAGTCATTCTGTAATAAGATATTAAAGAGCTACCACTGGATGAGGGTGAGCTACAAAAATTAATGGACTTTCTTCTTCACAGTGCCTTAGTCATTCTGATATACACTGTAGAACTCTGATGCACTAAAGGATTCCCTAGTGGCCTGAGGGAGTTAATGCACTCCTTTACCTATTAATAGGAAGTGACTAAGGCACTGGAGAAAATCTGGTTCATTGTTTAACATATTGTATCCAAATATTATACCTGGTCTTCCTAATATTACAAGATGGCATGCTTCAATGATGATCTTCTGTGCTTCAGGAAAGGTGATTATCTAGTGGGTGATTAAATTAACTTTAATAAATTATTTTTATAAGAGACACAGACTAAGTTTGGGCAATTTAATAGATGACCAAAAACCACATGTGCCTGGACCAAGTAGACAATTTAGAACAACTAGTTGTTTAGGAGAGGGATGCTCGTAGTGTCACTATTGCCTTACACCCTGCAGAACAGTAAGGACTCTTTTGGTAGAGCTTTTTGCAGATCATTTTCATTCATACAGTTCCCAAAAATTTGAATAGCTGTCAAAAGCTTAATTTCCAAGAAGAGATGCCACTGCATATAATTAATATTATAATATGCTTCTGGCTTCTACCATTCAACCAAAGGAAACAAGGTAGTAAATAACTATAGGCGAATTCCATTTCTAACATAGATGACCTTGTCTTGCATTAGAAAATAATAAAACATTTATATTTTCTCACTTTTTTTCTCAGTATTTATGTATATTCAGTGAAGCTAGCTAGGGCAAATGGAGAAAGAGAGAGCCTTTCCTTTGCTGCAGGCAGAGATTTGTAACTAAACACGCTGCAAACATTTTTATCCTCTAAGTAATTACTAGATCAAACTTTCCTTGAAATTCTCATGTCCTGTCATCCAAATTGCCCAATATCCCCACCAGTCTCATCTCCAACCACTTATAGTACAAGCAAGCGCACACACCACTGCCTCCAGGTGGTAACTGCATGCAGGGAGAACTACAGGCACTGTTTAAATATTAACTATGTTTTTTAATAGATGGCATTCCTGCACATCCATTATTTGTTTCTGTGGTTGTGTTTTTTTTTTTCTATTATTTGCAAAAGAAAAAAATAAAGCATGTGTGTCATCTTTTTATAACAGTCTACTACAGGATAAGGTACAAAAGAAAACTTCTGGAAACAGCAGAAGCCAGGTCTGCACCACTGAATTTCTCATCCAGTGGTAACCATTATATCAACAGCTGGAAATTAAGAACAATAATATACAGTTTGGAGGACATAGTACAGAACTATAGTCTTTTTTTCTGTATTTGGTACCAATATTATAAATATATAACAAAGGTGCACTTGTTCTAAAAATAAAACAAACATTCTAGTTGGTTAGATACTGCACTTTCAGTACTACACATCACCTAATACTTTTTTTTTTTTACAAAAAGATAACGTATGCAATGTTTAATAATAAGAAAACCAATAGTACACGCTAACCCGATTGTAGAAAAAGAAGAAAGAACCCAACCAAAAGCCAGAATAGTCACTTTCCAAAAAGCCCCTCCTCCGCCTTCACAACTAGAGGAAGTAACCAGGACGATGAGGCGACTTCAGCACCAGACCTGACTGGACAGCTCCCAGATCCTCTAAATCCTGAAAATGTCACAAGTCAAAGGTGTACAGGTGGGGGTAGGGCAGGGAGTGAAAGCATTAGTTTTTTAAAAAAACGTATTTAAAGATTTTAATGTACTTATGCTCGGCCAGCGAGGGACATTTTAAAAAGTAAATCAAATGCTCTGTCCTGGAAAAGGTAATGTTTAACCAAGGGGTGAGAAATGGGCTGACTGGCAAGGGGTACCTGTCATGAACGCTTTCCGGGGACTTTCTCCATGGCCTCTTGCAGTCCTGGTGCTTCATATAGACGTTTTCTTTATATACTATTGCCTGAGCCCTGCTGAGGGTGGGAATGGGGAGGTGAGAAAAGCTAAAGGAAAAGTGACAGCTTAGGGGTCAGAGGGGAAGGAAGGAAACTAAACCTTAACTTGACAGCTATGTACATTACTGGGCCCCCTCCCCTCTCTCTGCTCCGGAATCAATGCCTTTTATATATTTGGTAGCTTGTGCGGTTTCTCCTCCTAATTGAGGGGAGCGCGGGGTGGAGTGAGAAGATGCATCCTTCACTGACAATGAGAAATTATGTGATTTGTCATGCGCTTGGATTGTGTTATTAGTATAATAATTACTATATAAATATTATTAAAGTATTATTATCAGCGTTATTTCTTCTTCAGAGACTTTCCTCGCCCAATATTTACAAATACCGCACAGTGCCTCGGCGGAGGAGAAACAAGAGTAAGGGGAGGGTAAGGAAACCAGGAACAGGAAAGGGGCCAGAGGAAAATGGAAAAGGAAGGAAGGAGGAGAAAAGCAAGGATGGCAAAGATGCTGGAAATGAGGATGAGGAAGGAGAGGGGCTAGACGATCAGGACAGTACCACCGTTTGCAAAAGGCCCTCGCCAGCTGTGTCCAAACAGGAGGAAGCTGCGTGTGCTCCTTGGGGACTGGAGGCTGGCGGTGGAGGCGGAGGAGCACAGGGACCCTGGCACGGGAGGCCAGGGGATGAAGAGGAGGAGGTGGTGGCATTGGAGGCGGTGCAGAAGGGAGAGTCCCGGGGCTGCCTCTCCAGCCGGGTTTCCTTTGCGTGGGTTGGGGCCTGCCTGCTGGGTCGGGGTAGCCCTCCGCCACCACGGCTGCCGCTGCAGTGATCCCTTTCATATTCCTCCTGAGCCCTCTGCATCTTCCGCTTCTTCATCCTACGCTTGTGGATGTGGAACGTGGAGAGGGACAGCACGATGAGGCAGAAGATGAGGGTGACCAGGACAATCAGCACCAGCGTAGAGGAGAAGGACTGGAAGAGCTGCTGTCCCACCTGCGTGATGCAGGTGCCGCTGCCGCCTGCGCCTGGGCTACGGGCACCCATGCTGCCGCTGCCGCTGGCGTTAGGGGAAGCAAAGGTCCGGTTGAGGAGACACGGCGGCAACGCCAGCCTCAGCTCCTTCGGTGCCCTGGCACTCATTGGCGCGGGGCTGAAAGGGGCCGGTCTCACTAGGCTTCCCCTTTGAGCACACCGTTCCCACCAGCCAAGAAGAGGATGGAGACCACACCACCCAAAACCGCTCCCTGTAGCGGGAGGGGGTGTGCAAGCGAGCCAAGGACTAACGGAGCAACTGCTGGCAAGCAAGGCGACCAAGGAGTGAAGGGCGCCGGAGAGATCCTCGCCGATTCCACCTCGAACACGTCTCCGCGCGCCCCTTTCCTTCGCGGAGGCACCAGGCTGCAAAGACACAAAGCTTAGTTAGAATCTCGGCTGCTGCCCAGGGGAGTGCGGTCCGGAAGGATCAAACACCACCCACCGCAAAGCAGCCCTCTAGGCACACTGCCTGAGCTGGGCACTGCCCGTCTTTTCCGTCAGCGGGCCCCAGCCTGCCCACCGCTGGCCGCGCACCAGAGCCACCAGCTGCCTGCTCAAGCCACTCCACTCGACAGAATGGGGTCTGCGCCGGCACCGCGGAGGTGCCGATTACTCAGCAGATAAGGCAGTCTCCCTTCCGCCCTTCACAACTTTATAATTGCAACAGACAAGCAGCCGCTTCGGATTGAATTCCCTACTTCCCAGAGCGCCGGCTCTCCTCTTTTCTGCTCCCTCTCGGCGGATGTCTTCACCTGGATCCTACCCTTCCCAGCACCCACCCCGGGCCACCGAGCAGGCTCCGGTACGCAGTCCTCCCTTCTTCCCACCGCCCCCCCAACTCCAGACTCGCCCTCTCTGGAACGGAGTCAGATCCCTTGGGTTCCATTCCCAGGGGGATACCCCTGGCACCACATCCCACTCTGCCGCTGTCCGCGACTGTGGCTGACGCGCAGGAACGCGCTCCATCTCTTCTCCAGCCTTCTTCCCTGGCATTCTCCCCGCTCCCCCCAAAAAAAAAAAAAAGACGGCGGAAACATCCTTCTCAGCTGACACCTTCCCACAAACGGCCCCCTCCTCTCCATCTCCCTGTGACCCCAACTTGGCAGTAACCTGCTTCTTTCTAGAGGAGCTGGAATGGGAAGGGGAGGGTTTCTGCCTTCAAAGTTTGGAGAATGGACCTTCTTTCTGTCCTTCCCAGACCCAGCCGGAAGGCCCCGAAGCTTTTCCGGGAGACGGGAGCCAGTAGACCCGAAGCTCACAGGGAGCCTCCTTGCTGCTCCCAATAGTCAGCTGCAAACTGTTGCACTGCGGAGCAGCGAGGCAGCGCGCAAGCAAGCCGGATCCTGGTCCGGGGCAGGGGCGGGGGCCAGAGCTATGGCCAGAGGTGGCTGCACAGGCCGCCTGAGCTGCCTTCCCCACTCGCGCTGGGTCGTCAGGTCACCTGGCCATCAGAAGCCTTTAGATGCACCTTGTCTCTTACCTGGACTGCCAGCTGGCTGCAAGGAGGGAGCCCCCGCTGCGCGGCTGCAGTGGCGCCTGCCGAAGGCGCGGAGTGAATGGGCCAGAGACCGACCGAGCCGCGCTGCCGCCGCCGCCGCCGCTGCTGCCACCTTCACCGCCGCTTCAGGGAGCTCAGCTCGCAGCCTATTGCCAGAGAGGCTGGTGACGTCAGGCAGCCACTGCCAGGGCTCCAAGCCACCCCTCAGGCCCCCACCCACCCTCTTACCCCAACACCTTGTCCTGGCGTAGTGAGCCTCTGACACACACTTGCCAGTTCCCTGCCCTTCTCCAGCCCAGGAGCTAGGAGGACCAACCCCCACCCCCACCCTGCAAGCAACCCACCTTTCGCACTCTCTAACCTGGGAAGGGTTGAATCTTCAGTTCTCCAGCTTTCTGATTTTGTTCTAGAGCTGACCCTTTGGTGCCAGGATCACATTTTTACACCCTGGAGAACCATCTCCTTTCAGTGCACAGATCAGACTTTCTTCCTGGTGGCTGAAGAAAATTCCCCACCCCAAATCCTCTCCGTGCTGCCCCTGGTTCTGAACATAAACTGCAGGCATTAGATGACAGGGGCATTTCTCAACACAAGTGTGACACAACCCAAAACACAAACCTGAGCAACTTAATCCAAATTAGCCATTTTTCTCCCCTGGAGTTTCCAAGTTATCTTTCACTCCCCCTGATTCATGATCCTTCTCCTTGCCTCCTTCACCTACTCATCTCTAGGCCCCAGACTCACTCAATGTATTAAACGCCCCTTCTATTCTGACAATGTAGACACTCACGAGCACACAAAGCACACAGAGTCTTACAAGGCAGAAAGATGAAATTACTCAGAGGAAGGCAGAAAGAACTCCTTATGAAAATTCCAAGTATTGTAGCTCACACAAAGTACCCCTTCATTGGCCCTAATTCTTGGGAAAGCGTTTGGAGCACAACGTTTTAGCAAAATAGATTAAAACTTCCAGAAAAGAATTCAACAGCTTCTCTAAATCTGGAAAGAGACTAGTCATCTATTGGTTTAGAAGTCTTGGAAAAATACGAATAGTTCATTTGATTACAGTATCTAGCTTTGAAAAGGAGTATGATCATTTTTCTGTTGGAGAAGCCAGCTAGGAACTGTACCTAAAGACATTGCATGGTCTTTGAAGCCACTCAGGTGTATTTTTTTCTTTCCTCCTTGTCTTGTTTTCTGTCTTTCAGTCTAGCACAGTGCCCGTACCTTGCTTACTTGCTAAATTGAATGGTGCAGTATATGTTGTTGTTCTTTCCTGTGATGTCTCGGAAATGACTGATGACCACTTATTTGCTTTTATTTGCTGTACTTGTAAAGAAAGAGGGTCTGACAGGCGGAGGAAAAAGCTGTAAACTGGGCGTCCCTTCTTCTGACCCTGTGATCAGGATTACACAGTTACTGATGACAGCCCCCCTACCCCAATGCTAGCTTCACCTTCCTGCCTGGAATGAGAGCACGTGATGCTTGAAATAGCCACCTGCCACATTTGGACAATTTAGCTTTGGTGGTCTCAGGATGGAATGGTGAGTCTTTTTTTTTTTTTTTTTTTTTTTTTTTTTTTTTTTNTTCCACTGTGACTAAGTGACACTTTACCATTGACTCCTAACAGGCAATGCCGCATTTTTACACTCTCTTTGCTCCTGAAAAGTTCAGTCTAATAAACATTTTGTAAAGCAAATCCAATTTTGAATACTCCAAAAAGAGATCTGGCTATTTCAAGAATAGGATATTTAGGGCAATAACAGTAATAGAATCTTTTTTGCAGTGCTATTTTCAGCACTGCACATATAGCAATATTTTATAATTTTTTAAAAGTTATCTTGTAAAGCAAAGAATTTTTACATAATTAGAATTGACTCTCAGTGGTCCTTCTGTTTTCTAGATTTGAAGAAATGAGTTATTGGGTTTTCCCTATGGGGAATATATCTTTACAACATGTTGTTATGGGATTACAATATGTATGTAACGGGATTTTTCTTGCATGCCAAGCTCCAAGGCCATGTCAGAAGGCTTCCAATGTTACTCTTTTGTTACAAATGATAGCCATCTGTTATACCAGGAGTGCTAAAACTGTGTGCATTATTTTATACATCCTATGAAAAGACAAGGTCTGAATCTGGAGAACTTACAGTCTGCAGCAGATGAACGTGATTCACCCAGACAATGGTATTTAACTGGAAATGATTTAGGTAGATTAAAGACATTAGTTTTCATGTCAAAAGCATGGTACGCTTTTTTTTTTTTTCTTTTCTCTTTCAAGAATAGGCTGTAGGTTCATAATTTGTTCTTACCCAGAGGACAAATGTCCTAAATACACAGAGTTGGATGTCATCAGGCAGTGTGTTTCAAACCCAAGGAAAAGCAATGACAGCAAATATGCACACCTCTTGGACTGCAGGAATTGATCCCACTGACTTACTATATGATTCTGGCACATCTGGCTTAATGACAAGGCTTCTTCCAGACAATATCATTGTTGCCACTATTTTTCCCACCAAGCTTCACAAGCCACACTCCCAAGAGTGCAGAACCAAGAAGCTTCTGAAATTCCTGTAATCTTCCCTTGTAATGGGGATGTCCCTCTGAACACAAGCAGGTTCCAAATATTTAACACCATTTAATATTTCAAGTTTAATGAAGAATCTCAATCTAACTTAGAAAAAAGTGCCACATGGGCACCTGTACCTTAATCTAGGAAGCATTGATTCAATAATAATAACTGTTATTTGCCAAACACTTACTACGTGCCAGGCTATACTAAACCCTATATTAGCATTAATCCTCTCTACAACCTTGCAAGGTTTTTTCCAGAACACAAAATTATTCATTATTTGTTCAACAAAAATCTTTGAGTACCCGCTATAGGTAAGGTGAGAAAACTAAGGCTCAGAGTGTTTAAAGCCATGTCCAGGTAACTCACTGAGAAGTATATTACCACATACAGCTAGTGCTCGACTTACGACCATGATTGGTTCTGACAGACTGGTCGTAACACGATTTGGTCGTAAGTTGAGTAGGCTGTATGTACAGTACTGTAAAATGATGTTATAAAAATCTTTAAGTCATATTTAATCATATTTTTCATTATTGTTATACATCAATTTTCTTTGTTCATTTTATGCCATTTGTATCATCTCTATACCATTTTGTTTCTCATTTTTACATTCATCAGGTTTAAGTAAAACACTGCATTACCAGTACAACTGGTTTAATATTTGCAAATCATACAAAATTACAAAATACAGGTGCATACAAAAATACAAAATACAGGTGTAAAAAATACCACAGGAAACATTTTCCCAATTGCAAAATATATCAAAATATATAAACATGTACGAAACATTTTATTGGCCACTGGTGCTTGGCTGTGGATCGTTGATGTCGTCATCTGAGGCAGCAGTTGGGGTTACCCGGGTTGGTTTTTTCAGAAACATGGTGAGCTTTGTCTGAATCGTATGTTTCTTTTTTCTTCATAAATTTCACGATACGGAAGAAACACGTCGTGCGCCATCCGTTCAATCCTTGCAAATCGTTCGATGTTTGGGTCCATTGCTTCGAAATGTATAAGAAGTTTATTGGGAGGGGTTTGATGAAAAATATCCAAGACACAAAATGCACATTGCTGTACTGAGTCTGGGATAACAGTTGAAATGGTGCACGCGGAGATGGTAGTGCTGCCGGAAGCTGGTCCGCACTGTCGTACGCCCAGCTGGGCAATGTTTGCGCTGCCAGACGCGGAGCAGTCGTGGCTAGCTATTGTGGTCGTAAAGTCGAATGGTCGTAAGTTGCATAGGTCATAAGTCGATCAATACCTGTATATTATTAGGCTAAACCCCAGGTAAACTGATTCCAGAGTATTCTTTTTGTGACTACCTTTTCATAACTGATGGCTTCTCTCTGCCTCTCACTCTCTTTCCCTTTCTGTTCTTCTCTTTCACACACACTCTTCTATTTTTATTTTACCTCTATCTACTTTTGATTGGGGTAATTATGTAAAGCTAGAGAAAAGCAGAGATGCTTGGTTGAAGTGCAGGAGGGAAGATGGGAAATCCCCATTGTTCAGGTGTTTCCTTCATCCAATCAGCAGCAGTCTACAGGATCTCCACAGATTCCTTTGGACTGAACAAAGTCTAGTTTGATTTAGGCAAGTCATTCTAAACAACAATACAGCATAATATATGCCAGGCACCTCTTCGATTTACAGGGGCTTTTCTAGTGAATGCGCAACTGATTCTGACATTTTGCCTAATGTTATATCTCCTCTAATCTGGGTCCCTGCATACCTACAGTGGTATTTAATATTTGCTTTCAAGTTAAATAAGGAATCTCGAGCTAACTTAGAGAAAAGTGTCATATGTTGCCATGTTACTATTAAATCAACTACTGCCCCAGCCAGCAAATAATTAATAAACAAAGCTCAGAGTGAAGCTCTTGAATTTGTTCTAGTTATCTGGTTTTATTCTAATTCAGTATTGTCATCTGCAAAATGGCAATAATAGTAATAGAATCTTTTTTGTAGTGCTGTTTTCAGCACTGAGCATATAGCAAGCATTCAGTAAATAGCTCATTACATTATAAAGAAAATTACTAAGATTGATATTTTATCCCCGGCAATAGAAGCACTATATTGTTTTGGACATCAAAATTCAGAAAAAAATTGATAAGTATTAGTGTCCTCTATGTGAAGATGACTAGAAAGGTGAAGGGACTGAAAACAATGATAGATAATAAGCAATTCAAGGAGCTGAAAATATTAATCTTAAGAGAGGGAAAGATGTGGGGAATGTATCATAGCCTCTTAAAATGTTTGGAGTATCATCAATAGGAGATGGATTTATCCTACCCAACATACTCCAGAGAGAACAGAAATATAGAAAAACAGATGTAGGATAGGAAGCCTCTTTCAATGCATTATTTCAGTAGTGGAAAGAACTTTCTAACCACGGAGCTGGTTATCATATACATCAGCAGTCTTCAAAGTGGAGGAGTCAATCCCTGAGAATACATTAGAAATTTTCCAGGAGAATATGTACAGTTTTAAGGGAATTATTTTCCAAGTCTTCTACTTCTATGTGCTTCTCCCCAAAATGTATCTATCTGGGATTAAAATTTATCTTTTGTCACCTCTCCTTGCATTTGTCCTATTTCACAGAAGAAAAACACATGTCTCACCAGTTCTCAATCTTACTATAGTGCATTTACTCAGGGTGTGAAAACCTTTGTGAAACTATGAAAAGTAATACCTTGAGGATGTATGACTCCTGAGAGAGGTGACAGATGTCATTTGGGGGACAAACTCATTTTAAGGCTCTATGTCTTACCTATCTATGTATCAATTTATCTTAGAGTTTAAAAGTAAGGTGGTTGTCAGAGGAATGAAAGTATTCTGGTTTATTTAAATTGAAAAATGGATCCAGACTGTTTTTGGAAACAGTAAGCCTGATTTGTCTATTTAGATTGACATAACTGGATTTGCCTGATAGATTGTATGGAAGACATGCTACACAAATTGAATGCATTAAATCTGTTGATCCAAGGTTTTTACCAAATATATTTAAAGAAAATGTAGGATATGGAATATGCCAGAAATTACACTATTTAAAAGTATTAAATTTCTGATTTAGAAGTTTTAGATGTCAACTTAAAAATGTACAAAGGAGT